TCTGTTAATAAAGCTGTGGCTATCAAAAGAGAAAGTCGATGAAGAGAATCAATCAAAATTACTTACACCGTTTTCCTTCTAACCCCCTCAAATCACATCTAAAGTCTCGAAAGCGCCACAATTGATCAACTTCAAATTTATGTAGGTATGTAGGTAATGCAGAAAAAAAAACCTGAAATGCTGCATTTGAAAGTTGAGTGTATATACAATGGTTGCTATGATGAGTTTTCACCGTTTGCTCTCCAGTTTTCAAAATGACGTCCAAGCAAGAGGAGCAGCGTGTCAAAAATTGCTGGATGTGGCCAAATACACCGTGACAAACGTTTTTAAAGTGTCTGTCGACCGCCAGGAAGCCTGGAAGTGGCGGCAATCGTAATCCGGACGTGGCAGCGACGACGAAGAAGGTTGCGGTTAAATATAAGCGGAATCCTAACCTCTCCATCCGGGACGTCGCTGGCAAGCTCAATGTCTCCCATACTACTGTGCAGCGGGCCAAGCAACGAACCGGGTTGTCGACGTTTAAGAAGGTGATGGTGGCGAACCGAGATTACAAACAAAACACGTCGGCAAAGCTGTATACGAATCTGCTAACAAAGTTCGACTGTGTCGTCATGGACGACGAAACTTATGTGATGGTGGATATCAAGCAGCTTCCGGGACAGGAGTTTTATACCACATCAGTAAAAGGGAATGTGGCTGAAATTTTCAAACTATCGAAGTTCCCGAAAAAGTGTCTCGTCTGGCATATAGCCTACACGTGTGGTCTAAAAAGTGGCATTTTCATTACTACTGGAACCATCCATCAAGAGATCTACGTCCAAGAGTGTCTGGAAAAGTAGCAGCCTAGGGGTACGAACGGAAGCTTGACGTAGGACCGCTAGTGGACGGAACAAATATGTTGATCATTTAGGCTCTTTCCGTTTTTTTATTGGTGGCCCTGAAAGATACAAATCACTCAAAAAAAATCAAGATTCAGGATTTCGAGGTCTTTTAAATAGATTAATTATTTAAAAAGCAAACTTAAGTCATTCTTCAAGATTCTAAGCTATGAACAAACTATTTCTGAACTTCAAAGTATATTTACGACGATCCGCAATAAGATCATACTATATGATTTATACAGATTTTTGTCAGCCAGAAACAGAAGAAGATTTTTTACGGTGAAAATACAAATTGAAATTGGAAATAATGTGGCAACACTGTATCGTCTTCGTATTGGTGCGATGCGTGCTGTTGCACTCATAAAGGGTGATACGGTCAAAATTTGGTCAAGGGAAAACGCGTGTAAATCGGTGAAATCGTTTATTTAAAAAATCAAATTAAATTTCTTTTTCAAGTTCAATTAGTATAAAATTCAGGAAAAATATTCAGTTAGGCTTCCGCTTTTCCAAATCCGAATTGCCGGGCCTTACGCTTGACCCCTGCCATCAGATTTTGTACAGCCACCTTGTCCACCTTCTTCGCCGCAGAAAGCCAGTTTGCCTTGAACTGCTGCTCGCCCTTAGCAGTTTTTTTGGTCTTCTTTAGGTTCCGCTTGACAATAGCCCAGTATTTCTCAATTGGGCGGAGCTCTGGCGTGTTGGGAGGGTTCTTGTCCTTGGGAACCACCTGCACGTTGTTGACGGCGTACCACTCCATGGCCTTTTTACCGTAATGGCAAGATGCCAAATCCGGCCAAAACAGTACGGAACAACCGTGTTTCTTCAGGAAAGGCAGCAGACGTTTATTCAAACACTCTTTCACGTAAATTTCTTGGTTGACAGTCCCGGAAGCTATGAAAATGCTGCTTTTCAAGCCACAGGTACAGATGGCTTGCCAAACCAGATATTTCTTTGCGAACTTTGACAGTTTCATGTGCTTGAAAACATCTGCTACCTTTCCCCTTCCTTTTGCCGTATAAAACTCCTGTCCCGGAAGCTGCTTGTAGTCGGCTTTGACGTAGGTTTCGTCGTCCATTACCACGCAGTCAAACTTCGTCAGCATCGTCGTGTACAGCCTCCGGGATCGCGCTTTGGCCGTCGTATTTTGTTTATCATCGCGATTTGGAGTCACTACCTTCTTGTAAGTCGATAGTCCGGCTCGTTTTTTGGCTCGATGCACGGTTGTAAACGATACACCCAGCTTATTTGCGGCATCTCGGAGAGAGAGGTTAGGGTTTCGCTTGAAACTACCGGCAACTCTCTTTGTCGTCTCAGCGGCTTCCGGTTTTCGATTTCCCCCCGATCCAGACTTCCTGGCTGTCGACAAACGTTCCCCAAACACTTTAATTACATTTGTAACGATTTTGCCAACTTTGCGTGCGAGTAGCTCGGATTTTCGCGATGCGCGAGCAAAATTTTGATACGCTGCTCTTTTTGCTTGGACGGCATTTTGACAACTGAAGAGTGAATTCCAAAATCAAAATAGGAGCAACATTCTACACACACACACCTTCAAAATGAGGGGTGTTCAGGTTTTTTAAATGCAAAATTGAAAGAAATACGTCAAGTTGATATTGACCAAATTTTGACCGTATCACCCTTTAATGTGGCAACACTGTATCGTCTTCGTATTGGTGCAATGCGTGCTGTTGCACTCATACGTCGTGTCCGACGCTTATCCATCCGTTGCTCCAAGCGATTTTTTTTATCTCTAGCTCTTCCCTTACTTTCATTGGTGAAATGGTGAGTGATCAACCGAGCATTGCGCTCGCTCTTGTGAGCATGCGCAATATGTCGTTTGTTCGATTTGCGCACTATCGTTGCGTCCGTGTTTGGGATTTTTCGTTACATGTCTGAATTTTGATTTGGGTCACAGTATAGATATTAAAGACGTAGTCCTACGTCAAAAAAAAAATGTTTGGATACAGGCAAATCCGTTGTCTATTATTTTTATTAATTTTTGGTTCTAATAATTCAAATATTTGTTATCAATGGTAGTTGTTCAAAGGTTAGCAAGCATTTAAAATATGTATAAATGGATGTCTTCACGGGAGAAGGTGGTTCTAAATTCTCTATAAAACGATCTGCGTAGTTTTAAAATAGACCCAAGGCAACTGACAGTCTATCAGCCAGTTTCATATACACGATAAGAGGGAACATTAATCTACCTGATTTTATGATAGGCACTATCTTCAAGACCAGTTAGATGGCCATATGGCTCTATCTTTGTTGTTTTGAGTCACATTGGTCATATTTCGTTAAGTAGATGTGATTTGATATGGAAATCATAGATAACGAATTTGTTCTAGGGTGGCCATATGGCTGTGTTATTAATTCTTAAAGCTTTCGGTCATATTTTGTCGAGTAGATGTGATTTGGCATGTCGCTTGATATGGTAAAGATAAATAACAAATTTACCCATTTAGAGCCATAATGCTGAATATATCTGACACCTGTTTTACGGTCGCCATTCGTATGCAATTCGTCGAGTAGATGTGATTTGATTTGTCACTTAATATGGTTCCGAAAGATAACAAGCTGCAAATTTTCCTAAAGCTACATCTTTACTCTTAGAGTATCTAAGATTTGTCTGCAGTTTCTCACGCGAGTTCCATCATTCTCATCGTGGATAACTGGAAATGTATTAAGTCAAATAAAAACAGCATCAACTATTCAAATGGAAAACCGATCATAATGACAATTCCGTAGCCTTCAGCAAAATTTGACCACAAAGTAAACAACTTTACGCCAGCAAAAGCAAGGTGAGTCAGTAGGTATCGTATTACTATAGTAAACATTAAACTGCGCAACTGTCACATAAAGATCGCCTTCGATAAGCTTCGCTTAATGGCAACTTTAATCGGAAAATCGACATTTTATGCCCCAACTCGTTAAAATTATAATCTTATTGCATCCACACGTGTGATCTCCATAACCTTAATGTATCGATTAATGAACCAAATGGGTCATAACTTTAATCCCAAACTGAGCAGATCGACATGGCAATGCCATTAAATGCGTCCCTATATAAAATGTATTCCTCCTTCACCTAGAAGCAATCTGGCTTCAAAGTTTAAAGAACGAAACTAACCCATCGATAAAGAAGAGTTCCATTTTTATTTGTACGCTCATCCCGTGTGTGTCGACGTCAGTTGCGTTCCGCGAGATTTATTAGTACGAATCGGTATCTTTTTCGCTTCTAGCAATAACATGCGAAATTTGGCGCTGATTTTGCATAAATTATGCTCTGCCGTCCGATACAACCTGATTTAATTTTTTTTCCGGTTTTTGTTTCTACACTTGCGAGAGTGTCTACAATTGCCAAAAAATGCCGACGACGACGGACGGCGGCTCGGCGAGTACTTATTTATGATTGTCTTGTTTTCAAATTATTATTCGCCAACTTTCCCTGCCGTGTATCGACCGTGCCTGGACTTGGTCAAAACAAAAAAAAATGAACCATAATTTGAAGGTCCAAATTCCCCGAAGGTCTTTTCCTCTCTGGCCGTTGTCGGCCTCGTTATTGCTGTTTGAAATTGTGTGTGGAATTCCGCTTATTGAGTTTTTGCTTTGTTTTGCTTTTTGTTTTCGTGTCAATTATCTGCACCTATTGTTGATTATCTTTTGCGAAGCATTTTTTTCTCCTACTAATAACTGTTTCCAAGTACGTGTCGCTATTTGCATTGACACGTCTCCGTTCATAGTTTACAACCATAAAGAAGACTGTAAATAAACCTAGTTTACCCACATCGATTTATGCTTACCTTAACGTTTACTGCAATGGTCGCACTTTCTGCCTTCCCCCGCACTTTTCCCATCCAAACTCTGGGCAGCAATTGCCAATTTTACGATCAATAAAGCAAGCCTTGATTGTTCGATTCTTTCACCCTTCGAAGAATGCGTGCTTCGGTTTTTTTTTTCTCACTCTCAGCATAGTTCATGTTTGGATTCGCTCATTTTCTGTTTTTTGCAAACTCTTAGTTTTTATGTGTCAACTCCGACATGTACACCGCGTCGCTTTTTAACAGCAGTTAATTTACATATACGACTTTTTTTCTCTCTCCGTTCTTCTTCCCACAGAAAAATGCCCACGAAGATGAACAACAGCAGCAGCAGCAGCAGCAACAGATTATCAGCAGCAAGTACAACTCGGTAAGTGGAAAAGTGGGATGATTGTTGCCCATAGGATTATCGTTGTTTTTTTTTTATCTGTTAGATACCGTCTTAGCATGGTGTCACGCACAAATGTTTATGTTTCATTCCGTACCGATCGTAAAGTTATGAATGGGCAAGCGGTACTGCAATTTGCATCCATGAATAACGTGTTTTAATGGATTCCATTCGTCCCGACCCGGATTAGGGTAATGGACCACGATAGCTGTGTAATGCTGACTGATTAGCACTTGTGGTTTGCTTCCAACAGTAGGACTCGTGGTTTTGGGGGAAATAACTTCAAATTTGTTCAAATAAGTGGAGAAACAGTTAAAATCACGCTTGTCTAATGAGAGATGCTTGTATGATTAGATTTTTAAGGAGGACGAAATTAACAATAAATTTTACAAGATTACGGGACCAACTGGTCCGACAGAAGTGATGATAATGGTTTTGTTTCTCACGTTGGTTAGATAAGTGGTCATTGGGGTGGGTTAAATTTGTATGGTGGATCACAACCCCCTGTTCCCTACTGCTCATCCCATGTGTTTTGAGATCCCCATCAATTGTATGGGAAACGAAATGAAACTATTAATTTGCTTGCCAAAATTTCAAATATTGCGGAAATTTCATCATTTGGTCATTTAATTTATTTGGTAATTTGTCAAATAGTAGATGGCCTTTTTGACGTAGGACTACGTCTTTCGGGAAAGGAGCCATTCAGGGAAATGAAACGAAAATTGGTCTGACTTTAAATGCTAATAACTTGGCCAATATTCAATGGATTTTGATGATTTGTATGTCGATCGATTCACCTGTTTCATAAGATTTGTGTGGTATGTAACAAATTATAATTATTACATATTTATATAGTTAACAATGTAGAAATATGGAAATATTCAAATTTCCCATACATTTTCTTCGACCGCAAGGTGCTTACCCCTAACACAGCCATCAGATAGCTGATCCCTATCAACACAAGCCGAAGCCGCACAATCATTCAACATTGCACGTTGGACTTGTTCACTGCGCATGGACATCGTAGCATTCCTAGCAGCTCAATACATACACCTCACACCAATGAAAAAAAACCAGACGCCTAAAATTCCGTCGAACATCCAGCTCATCGGAGTAACTGTGATCCGTCGATATCAGAAGAATTTTAACATTGCAATCAGTAGAAATTGTTCAATTTATCATTTATAAGTCACCCATAAAATGTAGTGAAAACAAACGGCTTTTTCGAAGGCCAGCAATAAATCATTACATAAGAGCTCTAGTTTATTGTAAATAAAACTGAACCGTCCTCAAAGGTGCAAAAAACTTGAGTAATAGTGCGCGATTAGCTTGTATCGTTTTGATGCGTTCGGCAAGCAAGACCCCTCAAAAACCGATCTGCTGTTTCTACAGAAAATTTCATCGCACGTCTCTATCAACGTCTCTGGCAAGACCGAGAAAGAGAAAGTAGTCTGTTTCCCTCTTGCTCTCGCTCATTCGATTTCAATGGTGCAGTAGTGTGCGCCGATTAAACATCATAAAGTTCTATAATCTTCTCTCTGTTCGGCTCTCGTATTTCTTGGGATCCCTCTCGGATGAGTTTTAAGATATCTAAATTAAGTACTTTCCGTACTTACCATCTGACCATCTAATCGTTTTGTTTTATATATTAATCTTTCGTTTTTTAAATCGTTCATTTAATACCAATAAAACGAATATTATAACCTGTTAAATCACTCATCTTATCAAGTATCCTGAGCAAAAAATTCCACACATAAAATGAAATCAAAATAGTCCTTTACTATATTCTCATCATGAATGTATGTTACACTCACAACTTTTACTGCGTAACCAATTTATTTCTCAATGATTTTTTTTTTTTTTTTTTTTTTCTTTATTTTTGTGATTTTTAGCCGTAGGCTAGTTCATCACATATTTCTCAATGATATAAATCATCACACTAAATGACTATTATAAGTGAAAATTTCATAATGTCATAACAAGATAGCTTATGTAACGTAATATCAACTTTAGCCTGAACTTGGCGTTAATCTGCACAAACTTTCCTATGATCCGTTATATTTGAAATATGTGCCATTTTGAAAAATGAATTGATTCAAAACATCGATTCAAAAAGATCGATTCGAAATGATTGATTTACTCGATTATTTTTAAAAAACATTAATCGGTTCACTAAGACCGATTCTTGCCTCAAGATCGCCCAATTCTAGTCATCACACCCAACGGTTCTTCGGGGGATTTTTTTTTTTTTGGTTATTTGTGGTAATTTTTCGGAACTGTTTTATCCCACAACATTCATGGTGTCCTTTTGAACTATAATGGGCGTGAAAATCAAAAAAAAAAAAAACAAGATGGTGTCAAGTTTTGAACGCGTATAACATGGTCATTTATTATTGAAATGCAATTTTAATTACATCATTTTATTCAGGTTGAATTTAAGATTTGTTTGGTATAACGATGCTACACGGATAGAAATCTCCTTATTCCTTTTGGCAAATTTCTATTGCTGATTATTCATAAAATGTATAAGTCAACTAATAACCAGACGCCTTGCAAAAAGTTAATGAAGATCATGTGTCAAATGAAATGTATAAGCGGTCACACATATCTGTTATGCATTCTTATAGGATCTATATGGTTTGTCTTATGGAATGTATAAGGCTGATGTTTTGGCGAAAATGTATAAGTGAAACACATGAATAAAATAATTGATTTTCGTTTCGTGTAGTTGGTTAAAGATTGTACTCGAAAAAAAATGCAACACATTCTAAAAACTAAGTTTAGAGTGTAATGTTTACATGTGCACCTAAGAGGAAGAGGTGACAATTGGCTTCTTCCTCTTTTATTTCTATCTCTATCTTTATCTATCTCTATCTCTATTTTACGCACATGAAATCGGCCAATCAGGAGCTGGTTCACGTTTGACAGAAAAGTGGTTCATTTTCGCCCCCGTATCGTCACCTCTTCTCTTAGATGTGCACAGGGGCTGGCTGGCGGCCATGTTTTTGATGCTTTCATCTGCTCTTGTCTGTCTGCTCACAACACGAGTTTGCGTCCCTTTCCTTCATGTATACGTCAGGCGGGCCGTATTTAAATAAGGCCCGTGATCTTGCCTACTGTCAAACGTATAGGATTGATATGGGGTTGCCAGTCTCCTGGATGTGCACAATCTCGTCGCAATCTGTCACGTGGTTATTTTAGACTGGGGGATTGCCTGTACAGGAACATAATTGCCTGGGTTTTGGCGGCATTGATTTTGATTTTCCACGTTTTCGCGTAGTCAGCAAAGGTGTCAAGGCATCGTTGAAGCTTGTTGGTGATTTCGCGAGGCAATCTGCCTTTGATGGAAATTGCAGTATTATCTATGAACAGGAAGCACACGCACCCGTTACTGAGATCGGGTATGTAGGAAGTGTATAAGCCGTAAATCAAGGGGGCCCAACAGACTACCTTGTGGGACGCCTGCTGGGATGGAGAACGTGTCGGAGAGACAACCATTCGACGATACCTTGAACAACCTTTGCTGAAGGTAGCTACGGGTAATTTCTATCAGATGTAAAGGAAAGTTGAAGTTGCAAAGCTTGAGTATAAGGCCGTTGTTACTTCGGATGTTGTTCATCACCCGTACTAGCTGGTGCGTTGTGGAGTGCCCTTTCCTGAACCCAAACTGTTCCGGTAGGAGAATATTGTTTTCCTCCACAAACTTGAGCAATCTATTGAGAATGAGTTTCTCAAACAATTTGCTCAGCGCTGATAGGAGGCTGATCGGTCTGTAGCTTGACGGCAATGCTGGATCTTTACCGGGTTTGCGGATCGGTATAATTTTTGCTATCTTCCAGATGCTTGGAAAGTAGTGCAGCTCCAAGCATCTGTTGAAGATGGCAGTTAAAACTGCATAGTCTTTCATGCTAAGCCATTTTATGATTAGGTTAAAAACACCGTCAAAACAGGGGGCCTTCATATTCTTTGAATATTTCAGCGCTGTTCTACCGTAATTCTATCCTCCGGAGGCACGGCACAAGGGGAGTAATCTACATTTTCGACGCATTGCGTCACCTGATTTTCGAGCGGACTTTGGGTAGCTGAGCCAAGCAAATGCGATGCAGCAATATGATTGCCAATCGCATTTAAAGGGCGAACACGAAATTATTGCGACACATTCAACAGGGCATAACTTTTTTACCATTGGGTAAAAATCAACCAAATTTTGCACACTTTCTCATTGATGTGTATTGTGTACATGCTGTCAAACTCGAAGTCATGTTTTTCGATTCAACGAAAATGGAGGTGAACCAATGCGAGTTGAGAGAACAAATTCTTTCCAAACACCTGGAATTTCCTGACCTGTCGCACCGGCAGTTGGGAAAAATGTTGAACATTCACCATTCAACCGTCTCCAGAGTGTTGAAGCGGTTCCAGGAGCGGTTGACGTTGGACCACGGCAAAAGAGCTGGAAGAAAACCGGGACCGGAGAACAAAAAGATGGAGGGAAAGGTGAAGCGGATGATTAAAGCAAATCCCAACGTATCAAGCCGTGATTTGGCTAAAAAGATTGGCATGTCGCAGAGCTACGTCCAGAATGCAAAGAAGAGAGCTGGACTACATACATACAAGGTACAGAACTTCCCAAACCGCAATGAGCGGCAACAATCGACGGCTAAAACTCGGGCACGGAAGCTCTACGAGAAGATGCTGACAAAATATGGCTGCTGTGTGATGGACGACGAAACGTATATAAAAGCCGATTTTAAGCAAATTCCGGGGTTGGAGTTTTTCACCGGCAAGAGCAAGTTCGATGTGGACGACAAATTTAAAAAGAAGAAAATGTTGAAGTTCGCCTCCAAATATCTCATTTGGCAGGCCATCTGCTCTTGCGGACTGAGGAGTGAGCCTTTCGTGACAAAGGGCACAGTAAATGGCGAGATCTACAAATCTGAGTGCCTCGAGAAGCGCCTTTTGCCGTTCTTGCAGCAGCACGACGA